GCTCAAATTTGAGAGCCTGAGGGTCCTTAATACAAGAGAGCCAAGAGATCTCAAGGCCAAGGCCAGCAGACCTGGCTCCTGTTTCAGGGTCTGGAAGCACAGTTCTTCAAAACGTCAACATAGCAATGACCTGCTGAAAGCTCGGCTTCCCCATGCATGGGATATTTGGAAAGAAAAGGTTATTTTTGTTGTTGTTTTTATACGTGAATGACACAGTCTGACTTTTCAGCACTGCAGAGGGGTCTGGGCAGCCAGGATAGGAAGACCCCCACTGGGGTGAATTTCTGAAGCCAGTTCCTGCATGAGCCTGAAGCTCAAGGGAACTCGGGCCCGAGCAGCCAAAGGTTAGCATCTATGTTCCTGGTTTTCCTACGAATGACTGGTCAACTAAGGCAGGGGATTGAGACAAGCGGCCTGGGTGGTTGAGTCTGTTTGAAATGCTGGATTGAAGAAACTTAGCAAGTCTGTGATTTTGTCTCTTTGATAGGAGAGTTTAGGAGGCTCTTTCCAGTGGCAGAAGTAATCAGCTTCAGCAACCAGCAAGCACACACACTCATCCTTCAAAGCCTGGCTCAGATGTCACCTTCTGCATCCAAATCTGTGCTGTCTCATTCCTTTGGGGCCCCATAGCATTTGCTTCTCTTATGAGTCTCACTAGACCACGCTGGAGCTTCTCAAAGGCAAGGAGAGTCTTATTCCAATGCTTCACGTATCTGCTCCAGGGTCAAGCGAGGTGCCTCTCGAACTCAGTGTTTGAGAGAATTGATGCTTGGCTTTCTCATTTCCTTAATGCATTGTTCCTTCCTTCACACCAACTACTTCCTGTGGCCTCCCCCCCAACCGTTCTTTCCTTAGTGATTGTATTGGTGTCTTGGGGCTGCCATAACAAAGTACCACAAACTGGGTGACTTAAACAACAGAAATGTATTGTCTTACCGTTCTGGAGGCTAGAAGTCCAAGAGCAAGGTGTCACAGGGTTGGTTCCTTCGGAGAGCCTTGAGGGAGAGTCTGTTCCATGCCTCCCCCTTAGCTTCTAGTGGTTTGCCCGCAATTTTGGGTATTCCTTGTCCGTAGGCACATTGCCCCAACCTCTGCCTTCGTGTTCATACAGCTCTGTGAGTATCTAAATTTCCCCTTTAATAAGGACACCAGTCATATTGGATTCGGTCTACTCTAACATGACCTCCTCTTTCCAGATAAAGCCTATTTCCCTACAAGGCCACATCTTGAGGTATTATAAGTTAAGATTTCAAATTATAAATCTGGGGAAGACAGTTCAACTCCTAACAGCCATATTTTACACCTAGTGGTTTTCACAGCACTCTCTAGTCGCACGGCTGTCTCCAGGTCAGGGGTTGCATCCTGTTCCCTCACAAGGGTGACGTGTATTAGAAGGATCTCCGTTCTAGAAGAAAAAGTCACTCTTACCTCCTGGCCTCAGTTTTCTCAAATGGAACCTGCAAAGTTAGAGTAAATAATCAGGCCACTCCCCGCTTTGGATTCTTGGATTTTCTGGGAATTAACAGCCTGTAGTCTTTCCCAGGACTTCTCCTCCCCTGTTTAACCAGCAGACCTCACCATCAGCACGTTCAGTACGTTTACTGCCATCACTACTGACTGACGGCATTTCTCATTTTTATTCATTGATTTGCATAATCTTATATAGTTTGTCAATCTACGTTTTTTGCTGCATGTGAAGGTGCACTCATAATTTAATTGTTAATAAACCTTAAAGAAGATGTTATCCAAGCAGTCTGAAAGGAGTTCATACTCAGTTGTACAAATGATGATCTAGCCTTCTCTGGCTTCCTGTTGCATTAAAGAACTATGAGGTCTAATATCTGTGTGGCCCAAACCCATTTTGTTTACCTCTATCAGCCAGTTCTTTCCTTTATGCACATTTCTCTAGCCACATTATTTGTGTATGTCTCTGTGTGTATTATCATTATTAATATTTATTCCTACCTTCATGGCTTTGTGTATGATATTCTTTACTCCTGACATGTGACCTTTTCTCATCGTCTCCTATTCATCTGTGAAGATCCAGCTGACATGCCGCCTCTTCCATGAAGCCCTCTCTTACCTCCTCAGGCCAAAAAACTCACTCTATTCTCTGAACCACCATTGTACTGTGTGTACCTTTCTTTGGCACTTAATCACTTTCTACTTTGCGCCGTTTTTATCTGTAGCTCACCGCTTTTCAGTTCCAACTCTGAGTAAATCAGTTAAACTCTTAAGTCTCAGTTTGTCTGCAAAGTGGCAACCATAATGCCCAACATCCGGAGTAGTTGTGAGAACTATTTAAGACAGTACATATGAAAGTCCTGGAACACAGTAGGCACACAATAAATATTACTTCCCTCTCCCCTACCCCTAGGTCACATTAATGTGTTTGCTCATTTCTGCATCCCCCGTCACCCTCTAGAATAAAACCTGGCAATGGCTGGATGTTTAGTAAGAGAAGGAAGCATGGACGGAGAGATGGTGATTGAATAACCTGTGAGAAAAATCGAGAACGCTCAATTTGCGCTACTGCTTTTATGCAAACAATGCCAGAGTTGAGTCTTCATGGTCCCAAAACAAGATCTAATTAGTAAACAAAAGAAAATGTTTCTGGCCCCCTACACGCAGTTGCCCCTACCCCAGCCCCACCCAGCCCCAAACACACACTTTTTTCATTCATGCCCTCTCAGGTACTTGAAATGCTGCCGCTGCCTCTTGGCCCCGGGATTCAGGCCTGCCTCTCTCCCCCAGCTTGACTTGCTCTATATTTTCTCTCTTCTTTCCCTCTCCTTGTTGATCAAAATTTACCTGTTCCCTGTGCTAATCACTTAGGCCCCTCATTGCCACAGAAAAACGTTTTTATTTGGTGGCAGACTTAATGATCTGGTAGCCAGCCTCCGAGATGACCTTTAATGACCCTCGCTTTCTGAAGTTCATGCCCTTTGTGGTGCTCTCTTGTATTGAATAGGATGACGTGGGTGATTAATAAAATATTGAGAAAGTGACTGTGTGTCATGCCCAAGACGAGGTAACAGCACACGTTGCTGCTTCTGCCTTGGGCTCTGGATTGCCCACGCTGGCGGGAGCCAGCTGCCATGTCGTGAGGACACTCGAGCAGCCCTGTGGATAGACTCACCTGGAGAAAAACTGAGGCTTCCTGACAAAAGCCAGCACCAACTTGCCAGTTACATGGGAGAACCGCCCCGAAAGTGAGTCCTCCAAGCCCAGTCAGCTCTTCAGCTGACTGTAGCCCGGACCCATACCTGATTCAATCTCGTTAATTTTTCATTTTAAGCTCAAACCACCAGCCAAGTCACTTCCCAACTCCTGCCTCGCAGAAACTGGGCGAGATGATAAATGTGTGCTTTGCTTCCAGGTCACACATTTGCAGGGGACGTGTTGCATAGCAACAGGCAACTAACACGCTGGGGACCCGGGAGCTGCGGATCCCTTACTCCCAGAGAGCAAGAGCACAGTTCTGGGATTGGTCCCGGGAGAGAGGCTGGGAGCAGATGCAACTATCCCAGCCTTTCCAGTTCCTACCAGTTAAAGCAGAGAACACTTGAACCACTTTGTCAAACTGCATAATGGAACCTACAAAATGGGAACACGTGCAAATCCTAACACTCAGAAATTCCACTCACAGATATGGACTCAACCAAGAAACGCCTTCACCAAAGACACGTGCAAGAGTTTGCAGCAGCATTATTGGTAATAGGCAAAACCCAGGACCGCTCAGGTGCCTGTCAACAGCAGAGCGGGTCAGTAAATTATAGTATAATCGCTGAAACACTGCACAACAATGAGAGTGCTCAAGCAAGCCACAACTACACACAACATGGGGCAATGTCTCAAACATTACACACAGTGAGAAAGCCAGACATGCGAATAGCTAGGTGTGATTCTATTTCCATAAAGTAGAAAAAGGCAAAATAAATCCATAATGTAACAGAGTAGTTACTCTCAGAGACGGTAACGCGGGGGCTTCTGGGATGCTGGTAATGTTCCGGTTCTTGATCTGGGTGCTGATAACATGGACAGATTCCCATTTGGAAAAGTCAGTGAGTTATACATTTAGGATTTATGCACTTTTCTGTATGTTATACTTCAATAAACAATTTCCCTTTAAAAAAGGTCGTAACAAGTTTTTTAAAAGAAATAATAAGTGTACCAGAGAGCAGTACAAGTTTAAAAAGGCTCTTGCTTTATGTTCGGGAAGGGGATGGGAAATCCCTGGTCTGCCATTAATTTGCACTAGGCCTCCGTGGCCTAATAATAAGAAAATAACACTTAATATTTACTATGTACCAACTGTACCTAGAGCATTATGTTAGGCAAACGAGTATGGCATTTATTTAACTTCAAAATAATATTTCAAGATAGATGATATTGTACTCATGTTACAAACATGGAAACAGAAGTCAAGAGAAATCGAGCAGCTTGCCCAGAGTTACGATGTGCGTCAGTGACAGGCTGCTTCTGAACCTTGATCTCTGGATCCTAAGACTTTATTTTTCCCAGCAGTGCCATGATCCTACTGAAAAGAGGGAGGGAACTAGATACGACTGACACTCCTCTAGGACAGGAGTAGGATCTAGGCAAGTGTGGGTCTATATTGCAGACATGTGTAGGTTTGTACACGTACGTTCACGCGCACACACTCACCTGCCTGGACGTGTGCAGGTGTATGTGAGTGTTCACGTAATGAGTCACATGGCTGAGGCTCTGTCTGCCCAGTGACAAGATCTAGAGGGAAACTAAAAAATGTGAAGATTCACTGGGGTATTTCCCAACACTGGATTTTTGGCATTGGGTAAGTCAAACATCTGAATAAACCGTCTGTCTGCTTTTCATCCAGGTACTTCCCCAACACAAAGCCAGGCTCAGCTCAGTGGCCCAATGGGCAGCTTGCTCAGTATCCATTTCCCTGATGCTTCTCTCGCTTTGCTAGTTCTAATCTTGAACTTAGGATGATAAACTCCCAAACTGAAGCCGGGCACATGGTCACCCAGCCAGAGACTGCATTTTTCATCCTTCCTTGAAGTGTGGGGCTCTGACTGAGGGCAAATGATGCCTGGAACCTCCTAAAGAGGAACCTCTTATACAGGACTTGCTTTTCATCCTCCCCGCAGGCTGGAAATCTGACGAGACAGTAGCCCAGCCTCAACCAGAGGTGAAGTGGACACTCTAGGGATGGTGCAGAAACAAGCTGGAAGCAAGCTGGGGTGGCTGGTGGAGCAGAGCACCCCCGCCCCACCCCGCACTAACCAGACTGTCAGGAAAGAGAGAAAGAAAGCTGACTGACGTAAGCCGGTGTGGAGGCTCCTTGCACCTCCTTAATGCACGTGGCTTTACAGGAGGGGGTCATTTCACAGAGATGCAAGAACATGCACCTTGGCCAACAGCTCAGCCGTCAGAGCAGTCAGGTCCCCAAGTGGGAGACCACGCTGGGGCAGGCAGCCTTGGAGGGAATGCTGATGCCCCTCATAGACTACAACACGCTCTCATAGACACCTTTTCATTTGATCCTCACCACAAATATAGGGGAAAGAATTAACTTTATTCCCTGTTTGAGAAACTAGGTCTCAAATAAGTGTCATGCTCCTGTTAATAAGTGACACAGAGCCAAAAGCTTTGCGTCATTCTCGGTCTCCCTGGAAAAGGAGCTACAGGGAAACTTGAGGCCAACCAAGGCGTTCCTGACAGACGACTTCCCCATTCTTGTAGGGCAGCATGGTTCCAAGGTCCAGTCTCAGCCTCATCTGGATAGGGTAAATAACGCAGAAATTCAAGGAAACTTGCTCTAAATCACCCCAGCTCCGTGCTTCGCCCACCTTCGGTTCAAGTGGGAATAACCAACAGCCCTATGACTATGACCTAGGCTTCCTCTATTGAAGTCACATTTTAATAAAATTCGTGGCCTATAGCACGCTCATGCTCTTGTTGGAGCCTCATGACAAACTTGAGTGTATTTTATTTTTCCATTTTTTATAGGTGGAGAAACTGAGGCTGAGAGAGATTAAGCTTCTTGCCTACGGTACCACAGTAAATAGGTGAGATCCTCCATGTCGAAGGCTCAGCTCCATGTCTAACACTTTTGAGGTGTGCAATAAAATATTAGTTCCTATTTTCAATGGTAGGTTGGGACTTAAGTTGAAGTCTCCTTGCTATGCATTCACTATTCCTCTTGGCCCCCGTCTGGTAGCCTTGCCTTTCCCATCACCCCGTCCCTGAGGCTGCCTTGGGAACCTGCCCAGTAATTATGATGGCATCACTGACGTGGTGCTTCCTCTGTGCCAGGAACGTTCCATGTGCTTCCATTCATTGACTAGTGGCCATACTCTCCAGCCACAGACCACCAGGAGCACACCTGGAGGTGAACATCCGGTTGATTGATTCGTTGCCATGAGCGAGCACGCACGTTACAGAGAGCCACGGGGGTTCCACGAGAGGTGTTCGAAGGACTGAGAGGATGTGCACTGGAGTCAGGTGATGAGGAGGAGTCCAAGGCGGCAGGGGTTTGCTCTGTATTGGGCGCTATCATGAAGCAAGGACAATTTCTTTTAAAGATTGGTCCTGAGCTAACATCTGTTGCCAATCATCTTCTTTTTTTTTTTCCTTCTTCTTCTCCCCAAAGCCCTCCACTAAGTAGTTGCATCTTCTAGTTGTAGGTCCCTCTGGTTGTGCCATGTGGGACACAGCCTCAGCATGGCCTGACGAGTGGTGCCATGTCCACGCTGAGGATCCCAATCGGGGAAAACCTGAGCTGCCAAAGCAGAGCGCACGAACTTCACCACTCGGTCACGGGGCCAGCCCCCAAGGGCAGTTCTGATTGGATATCTTAATGAATCTTATCTAGAAAGGGGGGAATAGAAAGAGGCTAAAGAGGTAATTAGTAAGGAGGCAGCAGTCCCTCAAGTTGGCTGGGAAAGGGGAATGTTTGGTATTCTTGTGATTTTCACGGTGACCCTGTTTTTGTACATACTTAGAAAAAATTATAGAATGACCTCATTTCTGAGACTACTGATGTTCAGCAGGAGAGCACCATGGCCTCTCCGCAGAGCCCGGCCAGCACTAACGACCCTGAGGCCTTGCTTGTAGGGCTAGGCCAGTTCACAGGCGTCAGGTGGCTTTTCTCTTTCTCATTTAGTTAATCTTCACAGGAAGTTTGTGAGTTAGACTCTATTAGTATCCTAGACGAGGGACATGAGACACAGAGGATTAAAGTAACTTGGCCAAGGTCACATAGCTAGTAAATGGAAGACCTGGGGGAGAACCCAGGCGGTGTGGCCTCAGAAGTCCTCTCCTAACCCTGTGAGATTCCACCTCTCCGGGGTCTCCCTGGGGCCTCCTCCTGTCAATGGGACACTCCTGCCTACTCCGGACCGTCCACTGTGGGTCGTCTAGCTCACCTGGATAGTCAGGAGGCTGGATTCCACAGATGCACAGTGACCCAGACTTAGCTCTGCAAAACAGCTGGAATTCCCAGCCTGACAGCCTGACTGCACCATCCCGAACTCTCTGGAAACATGCTCCGCCTGTTTCGTCAGATAACCCTCCCCAGCACCTCCCTTTCCTCCCTAAAGTCCTCCCCGCCCTGGTGACTGAGGCTTGCTTCTGCAGGGGCTGCATTCCAGCCTGCCCAGCCCCAAGGCCTGTTGTGACATCCTAAAAGAATCTGATCAAGGCCCCCTGGGGGGTGAGATGCTGCCTGCAAGCTAGGAGGCCCTGGTGTAGAGGGAGGGGCTGGCCGAGCCCCTACTTAACGGCCATGTCCTCTCAGCGAGTCAGGGAACCTCTGGGAGCTTCGTCAGCTGTAAAGCCGAGGGCGCCGGTGCCCCTCTCCCAGCACTGGTGGGAGGATCGGATGAAATCAGGTAGTTTTGTGATGGCAGCTGAGGAAGGGATTAAGTTTCCCGTCTGGGTTGACATGAAACAGACAAGAGAGAGTGAGCAAGGGAAGGAAGGCAAAACAAGCCATACACTGTCCTGCGCCGGGACCACCTTCCCCTCCTCTCGGGAGACAGGAGCAGTGTCAGTCGGGGACTATGTCCTCGAGGCGAGGAGCACAGGCACTCAGTCAGAATTCCACGCTCAAATCCTCCTCCCATCTAGTGCTTGTGTGTGGCCAGGCAAGATGCTTAACCTCTCTGGGCTTCTGTCTCTTCACCTGTGATGTGGGAATGACATGGCTTTGCTCAGGTGTTGTGAGTGAGCAGGTGTTGGCCTCTGGGGAGTGAGGGGACCAGGACAGGCTTTTAGCAGGTGGGCGCTCTTCCAGTCCCCCACCTCTCTAGGGTGTTTGTATGTGAACAGAGGCTGAAGGGGAAAGGGCAGCCTGACTCCCAGGTAGGAAGTGTAACACCGCAATTTCAGGCTTCGGGGGCAGGGGAGGGAGGGACGCCCTGCCACACCACGTGGTGGCCACCTCTGTGCACATGCAGTGAGGGGAGGGCCAGGCTCTGCCGATGTGGGGATTGCTGGACAGTTTCAGGCTCTGACCGGCCCAGGAAGGCAAGATATTGAACGCAATGGGAGAAGTATTGGCTTTAGCATCAGAATGTCGGAGTTCTAGATCTGGTGCCACCACTGCCCGGTCTTGGGCGGGTGACAGCCTCCTCTTTTCTCCACTTTGTCCTCAATAGTGGAAGAGAAGTCCCCATGAACGGAAGGTGAAGCACTTCCATTTTGTCCTCACCACAAACGTCTCCAGTGTGTAATGTCATTACGCCCAGCTCACAGGAGAAGAAACCCAAGCTTAGGACGGTCAAGGAGCTTGTCCACAGACGCACAGCCAATGGTCTGACCTGGAGCCTGTGCTCTCAGCCTCTCCCCCAGCTTCCCTCTCTCCTTGAGCTTCTCAAGGCCTTCACTTGCTTATCTGAAACCTGGGAAGAAAGCTGGCACCTGCTTCCCTCCGGTGGCCTGCGGCTCAGCCGGCGGGATGCGCTGTTGGCTGTGAGCGGCCTTGCAGAGACGGGGTCATCCTCCCTGCTGTGGCTTCGAGGGCAGCGTCATCACAAAGGCCCTTAGCACGGACGCTTGAGAAAGGCTGATTCCAGCGCGAAGTGAGGACAGTCTCTCCACAGCAAGTGCTCCTGAGAGAGCTGGGCTCCCTCTGAGGTGGGAAGCCACCCCCCCAGCAAACAAGCACATGCCCAGATGGCAGCAGGGGTTCCACTCACCACCCAGGTAGCAGAGGCTCCCAGAACAGGGCCCGCCCGGGGGTCCCTGCTCCGTGCGATGGCCTCCTCTTCCTCTCTTCTTTCCACGGTAGGTGCTCTCCAGCCTCCATTTCCCCTTCAGATTCTGTGGATTCTTATGTTCCAAGAGGTTGCCAGAGCCCGACTTGACCTGACTGTCCTTTGCCAACTTCATCACCGCCTCTGGGGCAGGGGTGGATATCCGGGAAAACATTTTTCCTGAGCTCTGGCTTGGACTCCTTCAGCATCTGTGGAAAACAAGGGAGTGGACCACATAGCCCTCTCTCAGTCAGGCACGCAGTTCATGCTTGGCTCCCTGGGGCCTTTCTCAAGACAAACACCATCGGAAACTTTTCCTCCGCCCCCCTTCCCTCTGAGAGAGGGGTCCTGAGGCCAACCGTGGAGAGTCTTTGGTTCGCCCCCTGCAGACGGATGCTCTAATGCCTTGGGCCAGAGCATGCGGAATGGACCGCTGAGGGTCCCCTGGCGTGACCTCTACGCTCCTGGGCTGGACAGAGCAGGGACTGAGGTGAAGGGTCAACAAGGGGGCAGTGGCTCCTTGATGGCTTTCCCTGTTATGGCCTCATCCAGGAGATCCCTGTTTTCTCAGGAACACCAGGAGATGGTGTGTGTGTGCGCGCATGTGTGCGTACAAGAGAGAGACAGAGAGGTGCAATGATGCCATCAGGAGCTTTCTATCCCTTTGAGATCTGGGGCCCTCTGACCCACAGTTGGTGCACACACCAGCAGTGTCGCTGTCACCTGTGAGCTTGCGTGCGACAGAAATGCAGAGCCGCGGGCCCCGCTGCAGGCCGACTGATTCAGAGTCTGCATTTCCTCAGGGCCCTCAGGCGATTCTTAGGCACACGAAAGTTTAAGAAGCACGGATCCAGGTAAGACGGGCTCCAAGCTCCTGGCGGTGTTCTCTGGAAGCCCAAATCGCTCGTCCATGTTGGATGGAAGGCCAGGCCCTTTCCCAATTGTCTGTGAATCCCCAGGCTGCTCGCTCCCTTGGGGCCACCTCTGGCGACTCTGGAACAACCGCCTTCCCCGCACAGGACAGTGTATGGCTTGTTCTGCCCTCCTTTGCTAGCTTTCTCTGTACCACATCAAACTGAAGGAATCTTAATCCCTACTCCAGAAAGCAACTCCCGCAGAGCTTGTGTGTGTCCGTGTGTGTGTGTGTGTGTGTGTGTGTGTGTGTGTAGGAGATTTTCCCAAAATGTGCTGAGTGGGAGGGCGGGCAGGATGGAGTGAAACAACCATTTTAGCTGCTTTATACAGAAGACTAGACGTCTCTGTTCTTTGATGAGACAGCGATGAGAATTCCTCCCTGGCCCCTCACCCCAGGCGCTCCCCACTCCAGCCCACCTCACTGGATTGTTTCTCCCCACCTTTCCTCCTCGGCCCCTCTTCCGCTCTTCTCTCCCTGACCCTCTAAGGAGCAAAACTCCCCTCGTTTCCTCATAGAGATCAGCGACGACACCCCTCCTGTGGTCTTCATCCTGTGCCCTCAGGATTCACCTTCTGTCCTCCATGCCTCAGAAGCACGCTTCTCACACTCGTGTTCATAGCAGCACTGTTCCCGATGCCAAGAAGTGGAAGCACCCAAATGTCTACCGATGGATGAATGGATAAGCAGCATTTGGTATACACATACCACGGAATATTATTGAGGCTTGAAGGAAAGGAAAGAAATTCTGACACGTGCTACAACATAGATGAACCTTGAGGACATTATGCTAACGAAATAAGCCAGTCACAAAGGGAGAAATACTGTATCATCCCACTTACATGAAATTTCTAGAGTAGTCAAATTCCTAGAAACAAAGCGGAAAGGTGGTTACGAGGGCCCGGGGGGAGGGGAAAATATAGGGGCCTTATTTAATGAAGACAAAGTTTCAGTTTTGCAAGATGAAAGATTCTCGAGATTGTTTACACAGCAATGTGAATATAATTAACCCTACTGAACTGTCCACTTAGAAATGGTTTAGGCAGTAACTTTTACGCTATGTGGGTTGTTTAACCACAATTAAAAATAAAAAAATAAGTTTGTAAGTCTGGGCAAGGCTCGCATCCTTCTGGGTCTTAGTTCCCTCCCTGGTAGTTGGGGATAAATATGTTTGCTCTCCCCGAATTATATCTTGCAGGGCTAGTTTGAAGTTCAGGAAAATTGATGCCTTTGAAAGAAGAAAAAAAAGACAATTTCTTTTCCAAGAAGAATCTGGTGCCAGCGGCTGAGACACTTTGCTTCCCCTCGTAGCCTGCGTACCTCCATTCCCCCTGCCTGTCCTGCTCCGCTCGCCTCCACCCGTGGGTCCTTCCAGTGGCGGAGTGCCTCAACCTTCATTCTCTTCCCTCTCTGAGACTCCCATTCTTTCTGGGCTTTCCCTGACTCTCAAAGCTTTGAGTACCTCCGTGGGCAGATGAACACCAACCTGTGAGTCCTGTCTGGACCTCCTTCCTGAGATTCAAACTGCTGTTTCCTCCTGTCTGTTGGACCTCTCCCCCGCGCACCTCCATTCACCAGGTTCAAAACCAAACTCATCACCATTCCCCACAAATAAGCTCCTCCAAGATTCCTACTCCCAGTGAAGGGTCCAGCCATTTACCTGGTTGCAAAAAAAGAAATCTGGGAATCCCCCCGGGGGACTGCCCCCTGCTCCTCCCCGCCTTCTTTTGTTTTTTTGTTTTTGAGGAAGATCAGCCCTGAGCTACCTACTGCCAATCCTCCTCTTTTTGCTGAGGAAGACTGGCCCTGAGCTAACATCTGTGCCCATCTTGCTCCACTTTATACGTGGGACGCCTGCCACAGCATGGCCTGCTCTCAAGACTGGGTCTCAGACGAGTCGGTTCTCAAAAGTTTATTTCTCACTGTTGGAGGTGACTGCAGGGTGGCTGCAGCTCTGCTCTGTGTGTCTTCTTCATTCCAAGATCCGAGCTGAAGGGACATGCTGTTCTTACGGCAGAGGGGAAAAAAGACAATGCTGAAATTTGCAATGGCTCTTAATGTTTCTGCTTGAACTTGGTCTAAATCACTCTCACTTAGGACCCAATGGCCAGAGCAAGTCACATGCCCGAGTCTGACGGTGCTAATCTGGGGAAGTACACTTCTTCTCCAGGAAAACAGTGCAAGTCGTAGGGCAAAGGTTAGGAATGTGGAATTCTCTTACTAGGAGGAGGAATGAAGAACTATGTATATGTACATATACAATGATGCAACTCAGGACACTGCTCGTGTATGAGCCGGCTCCGCCTGTGGAAAGAGCACAGCTGGAGGAGTGTCCGGCTCTCCGTCAACCTGAGTCCCAGCAGGTGCTGGTCTCCTGAAGGGAAGCAGCTGAGGCTCTGTGGGGAAAGTGCTGGCCTCATGGGAGAAGAAGATCTGGAAGAGAACCCAGCATGGAACATGACAGGACGCTCACTTCATGCTCCGGGCCCCTCTAGAGTGTCTTCCACTTGCCCGTGACCTTCCTACAGGAATCTGTGGGAGTTGGCACCCAGCTGCAATGCTGTGCCCTGTGAGCCCACTCCTCGGCCATGTTTGACTGGGCCAAGGGACGGCCCCTAACCCACGCTGGTCCAACCAGGTCCTACCTGTGCTAATGTGCAATCCAGAGAGAGGGAGGCAGAAGGGCAGTCTCTCCTATGGTTGGCATGATAATGTGTGAACCTGGAAGCTGTGGGAGGCTGCCATTCCTCCAACTATTTGCACCGAGCAGCTGAGAAAGTCAGTCTTCAGAGAAAAAAGACAGAGGCAGCCCAGCAGCCAAGTCGAGACAAGGGGAGAGAAGGAGAAGCAACACTCCCCGAGCCCTCTGCTGCCTCCCTCTCCTGGTTCTTGTCATTTCTGGGACGCTGCCCAGTGCTCACACGTGAGCTTGGGTTCCCCAAATGACCGCTGCATCTTACGACGACTTTCTCTCTTTAGGTGAAGTGAGATTCAGTTCGTTTCTGTTGCTTGCAACCAAAGGAACTTTGAGCGATTCAGACTCGCCTTTCTGAGCCTTAGTTTGATCAGCTGAAAAATCAAGGTAGCGATGCTGAGTCACAGGATTGCTGAAAGAATCAAATGGACATAAAAATGCGATAAAATGGGAAATATTATTACAGGAGAGAGACACCACGGGAGGAGCAAAATGTCTTAGAAGTTTTGCTTTGAATTTTTGAAACATTGGTTAACTAATAAGAAAAATAATGGTAGAAGCCAACAAGAAATAATCAGAATATGTCAGACACTGTTCTAAGTATTTTACACATATGAACTCCTTCAATTTCCACAACAGCCTTATTTTGTACAGCTTCCGCCATTTTGCAGATGAGGAAAGTAAGACATAGGAGAAGTCTTAAAAACTAGCCAAGGTCACATATACTGGGTGACAAAGTAACGTTCTTGGCTTTCATATCTGTTTCCTCATCCATAAAACGGCACAAATGTAGGTACCCCAGGGTGGTGTTTTTAAAATTAATTAAAAAGTCTCCACAATGCACATGACACAGTAAAAACTAACTTTTAAATTGCTTTCACCTCACACCTATCATGAAAATGGCTATTATCAAAAGGACAAGAGAAAATAAATGCTAGCATGGATGTGGACTCGTGCATTGCTGGGGGAATGTCAACTGGCACAGCCATTATGGAAAGCAGTATGGAGCTTCCTCAAAAACTGAAAAAAAAGGAACTACTATGTCATCCAGCAATTCTACTTCTGGGTATTTATCCAAAGAAAATGAAAACATTAACTCAAAAAGATACATGCACCCATGTTCACTGCAGCATTATTTACAATGGCTGAGATATGGAGATGACCTAAGTGTGTACCAATGGGCGAATGGATAAAGAACATGTTTTGTATATATATATTTTACATATATATACAAAATATATATATATATATAATTGTGTTACATATATATATATAGTGGAACATCGTTCAGCCATAAAAAAGAATGAAGTCTTGCCATTTGTGACAATATGGATGGACCTTGAGGATATTATGCTAAGTGAAATAAGTCAGACAGAGAAAGACAAATACCATGTGATCTCAGTTATATGTGGAATCTAAAAACAAACAAACAAACAAAAACCAAGCTCATAGATACAGAGAACAGACTGGTGATTACCAGAAGATGGGGGTGGGTGAAATGGGTGGAGGAAATCAAAAGGTACAAAATTCCAGTTACAAAATACCCTAGTCATGGGTATGTAACGCACAGTTTGGCAACTATGGCTAATAATGCTATATTGCATATTTGAAAGTTGCTAAGGGAGCGGATTCTAAAAGTTCTCATCACAAAAAAAAAATTCTGTAACTATGTATGGTGATATTAACTGGACTTATTGGGGTGATCATTTTGCAATATATATAAATATCGAATCATGGTATTGCACACTTGAAACTAATATAATATTGTTTTTCAAATATACCTTAATAAAAATATCTCTTTCATTAGAATACTCATCATAAATCTGTTTCCTAACTGCACTGCAAGTGAAGAAAATAAGACATGGACCTATGAAGAGGGAAATTTCAAATAAATAAATTCTGTTTACACAGCAAAAGATGGGCTTATCAAACTCATGGGAAATAGGCTTAAAAATCTGTAGCGCTTATAATGCCACTTGGCCTAAGGCAGCCTCAGACAAGCAGTTGTCAAGCCCTCGCTTAGTGGGAGGATGGAGATACCCATACTCTTCAGTGCCTCTTGACAACGTAACCTTTTTTAGCTTCTCTGCTCTGAGAACGGCATGTCTCAATTGGCTATGAAGAGTGAGAAGGCAAGGAAACTGAGAAGGGTGGTGTGGTGCTGTATCTTGGGGTTCTGCAGGCATCATCTCATGTTACAGATAGAAAATGGGAGCTCCAGGAGGTAAAGAACATGGCTTCAGCCCAACAAGCAGGAGTTGGAGGGTTGGATTGCAACACGAGTCTCTCTGACCCCAAAGTTTCAGCTTTCTTCCCCGCACCTGGAGATGCCTCATCACGTCGGATGCCCATCGCTGCTTCACACGTTACCCAAAGCCAATAATGTGAAACAGCAATAAGCCTTTATTATCACCCGGCTTCTGCAGCTCAGGAATTCAAGAGTGGCTCAGCTGAGTGGTTCTGGCTTGGGGTTTCTCATGAGGTTACGGTCAAGGTATCAGCCGGGTCTCCAGTTATCTACAGGTTTGACTTGGGAAGGAGGATCCACTTCTAATCGCCATGGCTGGTAATTTGGTTGTAGGAAGGAAGTCTCAGTTCCTCTCCATGTAGGCCTCTCCATAGGCTGGTTGAGTGTCCTCACAGCATGGTGGCTGACTTCTCCCAGAGCAAGCAATCCAAGAGAGAGGAGTGCCAAGGAAGCTATCCTTTTTATGACTTCCTCTCAGAAGTACATAGAAGCACTTCACCAGGCTCATTAATTAGAATAGGACTGACCTGCATTCGAGGGAGGGAAACGAGGCTTCGCCTTCCGAAGGGAGGAGGATTATGGATGTATTTCAAGACCACCGCACTTAGCAACATGAGAAAGAATTTACAGCTCTGGTGTGACTTGCCTACCTTCTGCTTAAAATGAGTCAGAGGGCTTCCAGCACCTCTCAGGTTAAAGGTCACAGTCCTCACTGTGACCAGCAAGGCCATGCACGCCCTACAGCTCTGCGTGTCTCCAGCCTCAAGCCAGGTCTTCCCCGTTTTAGCCACATACCTGGACTGCTTCCATTTCCTCACACTCCCTCTACCTGAAGGCCTCTGCAGAGATGCTCTCTCGGCCCTCTGTGCCTTCCCATAACCTCCTCTTGCCTTGCTAACGTCCGTTCCCTTATCCTTCAGATCCTGGTTCAAAGGTCGCCTCTTCACCAAACCATCCCTGATGTCCCAGACCAGATCAGGTCCACTCAGAGGCTTTTATGAACCTTTGAATTCTTGAATGATACTTTTTCATTTGCAATTATGTATGGTGCGATCACTGAGCTATGTCTGTCTTCCCCACTAATGCTCAGTCCATATTGAGATGGCGCCTGTTTTTATGTTCACCATTGTATCCCTAGCACGTTGCTCGGTGCCGAGCACACAGTGGGCACTCAGTGACAAATGCATTGAATGAAGGAGCGCCCAGACAATGCCCTTCTCGGAGCTGGAGGTGCAGGGCTGGCAGAGCACCTCTTTGTAAGTGTGCCTCAGTGCAGGTTCTGGCATCAAGTCAGGGTTGACTCGGTGACTTTTAAGTTTCCTTTCCATCAGGAGAGTCTGAGATTCTGTGAGTCTGTGATTCTAGGCAAGCAAACTGCCTCCTTAAGCAGCTTGCCGATGGCCCAGGTCTTCTGGCTCCCAGGACACACCCTTTTAAGGGGCAGCCTGGTACAAACATCAAGCACAAGGAAAGTCTATGCTGGAAACTTCTGGGAGTTTCCAGCTGCCTGGGGCTTTAAGGGGCTCAAACGATCGGGCCCTCCGTGGCTCCTTTAAGAAGTTTTACAAGGTTAAGGTTTGCTCTAAAAATAAGCCCACAAGGCTTTTTGAAAAGTTTCAAAAACCATATGTCCAGCTGAGCCGTTTTTTGAAGGGCCAGTGAGCCTTTAAAAGCTTCAAAACCGCTCCTTGGCCTGCCCCCCACTGTGGAGAAAGCTCAACACGTGGAGCTTAGACCCGCTTCTAAGTCTTCTAGAATCTACACTTGGAACATTCTGCTTCCATCAAAGGGGTTCAAGACGGAGATGAGGGGCCGGCCGGGTGGCACAGCGGTTAAATTCGCACTTTCCACTTAGCCTCACGGGGTTCGCCGGTTCGGATCCCGGGTGCGGACATGGCACCGCTTGGCACGCCATGCTGTGGCAGGCATCCCACGTATAAAGTAGAGGAAGATGGGCACACTATTAGCTCAGGGCCAGGCTTCCTCAGCAAAAAAGAGGAGGACTGGCAGTAGTTAGCTGAGAGCTAATCTTCCTCAAAAAAAAAAAAAAAAAGACAGAGATGAGTGCGTACGAACCCAAGGCCAGTTCTCCCCACAGTAAACAACCACCCAAATCACCAGGACACTGCAGCAAGTTGCCTACAGAGAGACCGGCTCAGCCTTCCCTGCTCCCCCTCCTCTCTCGTAGGTCTCTTCGCACTGCGTATTGTGGGTTGTTCTTCCAGCGGGAAGGCCCGTGTGTAGCCCAGCCCCCCGGGCCCAGGAGATGCCCCAGAGACAGAGCCCCTCGGATATCTGGCAGCTAATGAGGAAGTACATTCATTTACTAAATTGTTCTCGCGCTCTCATTTCTTTTCCTTTCATCTTTTTGAATAAATATTTAAGCCCTTATTATGTGCTGCATATCGAATATCCGTCTTTCAGGTGGGAAGGCAGGGGCAGAGATTAGTGGAGAGCAGCAGAAAGGACATCTTGACGAATCAGAAATGCATTCTCCCCAAAGACGTTTTACAGTTTGTAGGGGATTAAAGAGGAGTCCAGGCTACGATGCACCAGATTTCAGGCTCCTTGAATCCTTCAAGCTTCAGGAAGGAATCCCTTATTGACTCCTTTACATAAATGAGACTGAGACCAGAGAGGGTAGGAGAATTGCTCACCATCTGACAGGGCTTCAGCCACCCCACACGTGTCTTGCTGCTTCTCTAACAGAATAAGCCATAAACGGCTATGATGCCGGGGCACGGGGCTCCGGAGCAGTGTCAGTGTAACGTGATACGAGAGTGCAGAAGAAAGAGAGGTCCCTTCCAGCTAAGAGGATCAGAGAAGGTCCCGATGTTGCTCCTTGCAGCCACAGTAAAGGGCATTCTCTTTTCCCCAAACCAAGGAGCTCACCTCAGTCTCTTTTCTGTGTAAGTGAAACACTTCCAGCTTCTGCACCAACGTCGAAGGCTAAACCCAAGAGAGGAGTGCCGCTGACTGCCGCTCGGAGCCACAGCATCGCAGCGAGGCAAGGACCTACTCCTCCTCCTGTGACATCCCGACAGGTGCTCACCCAGCTTGTGCTCACACATCCTCAGTGGCAGGGAGCTCACTACCTCATAAGGTAAGTGGACAGTTCAGATTATTGCTGAAAGCTGTTCTCCCTGTCAAACCACAGTCAGTCTCCCTCTGGCTTCAGCATGCACCAGAATCTTCTGGAGGCTTGTTAAAGCCCAGAGGGCTGGGCCCACCCCCAAAGTTTCTGATTCAGTGGGTCTGGGGTGGGGCCCGAGAATTTGCATTTCTGACACGTTCCCAGGTGAGGCTACTGCTGCTTGTCCGGGGACCACACTTTGAGAGCCACTGTCATAGGCTTAGGGGCGGTGTGTAACAAGTTAACAATGACTTTCCAAAGCACTGAGCACATGTATTCTATGTGTCACCTCAGCTGGTCCTCCCCACAGTCCCCAAGGTAACCCTTTAGTCACTTCCTCCTAACACTGGAGGTTGGTAACCTGCCCTTTATGACACTGTCAGTGGCAGAGCTGGGCTTGAAATCCAGGTGCGATCACCCTAAAGTCTATGCTCTTAATGCCCCCTTAGCAAATGAGTAAACTGAGGCACAGAGAAGTTAAATCTTGCCTAGGCCACAAATATAAAAGGCATTTGAATTAGTTTTCAAATCCAGATCTTTCTGACCCCAAAGTCCAAGCCTTAACTCAAGCTTCTGTGCGAGGCAGGGTGTGCTGAGGGTTGTATCCACTCCAGCGTGGAGCCCGGGACCTCCTCCCTGGGGCGGGATTTTCATTTGTCCTTCCCTTTTTGCTTGACTTCTCTGGGTAATTGCCTCCTTTCTCCAGGCACTCGATGGGGCAGACGCCGTCTTCCTGGGGATCGAATGACCACAGAAGGAAAATAACTTAGAACAGGCAGCTCTTCATTCTTCCTCAGCTGGTGTTTTTCCTCCAGAGCCTGGAAAGAAATGTGGCCCATGCACACCTTAAATTGGACCATCAATTACTCGTGTCTTGAATATGCAGAGCTCATTAGGGCTGTGTTGGCCACAGGAGAGTACCTGAGCTGAGAACAGTAAACTTGCCTCAGCCCTTTCAATGCAGGCTGCCCCTCCACAGCGGAGCCGGCCTGGGGTTGCCAGGCACTAATGTGACCAATTATTTCTGTCCTCAGTTACTAGGTCATAAATCCCGCCCTGGCACAGAGTCCTGGTTTCTGGTGGGAGAAGGTTCGCTTTTAGGAATGACTCTAACTCCTGGCTGTGGAGTGGTGTGATGTTGTGGTTAGGACCCTTGCACTCCAAGCCCGAGTGTTGCCGGGACCTCATTATGGCCTGTCAACATCCAGCCGTGTGTGACAGTCACGTCCCCATTCTGCTCCTCAGCCATAAAGCGGGCGCAGGACCTCCGCAGGTTGCTCAATGACGCGAGTTTGAGAGAAGAGGTCAGGCATGTAGAAGAGGTCCTGAGGGCATTTGTGTGAAGACCCTGACACGGTTGCCTACGAGGCCGGTGCAGAGTGAACTAGGCTTTGTCCCACTCCGAGGCCTTTGCACTTACTCTCGCCTGTCCAGGATATTCTTCCTTCAGCCCTTTGCATCCTGGGTTATTCTCATTCTTCAATTATCTCCTCAAACCTCGCCTCTTCAAAGAAGCTCTCCTGAGCCCCTCTCTAAAGTGCCCCCTGCTCTCTGAGCCCCAGTTACTCTCGGAAGCATCGCCCTCCTTCCAGCCTCTTCAGCACAAAGCACAACCTACACTTAGCGTGTGCCTATCTGTGACAGCCCGATTGTTACCCAATGACTGCACGTGCTGCCGGTTTGCAGTCTGTGCGTGACGTTCTGAATGAGAACCGGCCTGGCCCCTCTGTGAACCCCACGCCCCCAAGCTTGCAAAAGCTGGCTCTTTAAAAACTGTCTTGCAACTGCTCATGTGAGCGGCTCAGGTGTTCCAAACTGAACAACCAAAGAAAAGTGCGGAAGTGAATTGAGTGCTGGGGGTGACACCTGATTTGAAATGTTCATATGCGTTCACTTTCATTGTTTTTACTGATGCTCATTAAGTGTTATAAATTTGATATATTATTTTAAAAAGGCAAGGAAAACAAAATGGAAAAAGCCGATCCTGCTTTGAAGGAACTCAGTTAAAGGGAGAGATACAGAGGACAGCAGACACCTGTGCGGCCATCGCTGAGTCTGCGCACAGAGGGAATGAAAGTGCAAGGAGGCCTGTAGGGAGAAGGCGGGAGAGCCAGCCCCAGCGAGGGCGGGGCCGAGAGCTGGAGCAGCGGCTCAGGGCTGGGGAAGTGGAGGCTGAATGCGAGTGGAAAGGAGTGAGAGGACTCACAAAGGCCTCCCGTGGCTGTGGGGTACAGCTGTGCACTTATTTGTCTGTCTATATGACTGTAGTCTGAATCCCAGATTCCAAGTCACCGGTAGCGAGCACAGTGCCTCCCCAGAGTCAGTGCTCAATTATCATTTGCTGATGAGCTTTGAATAAAGGGCCGAGTTCTCGGGGCTCAGGGCACAGGCGCCGTGGAGGTGGCGGGTGGCAGAGGCGTCTGCAAAGTTGGGGACGGGGCTGAGAAAGCTGGGGAGAGACGAAGAGAGCTTGCACTTTGATGAATGTGTAGATATTTCAGAGAAGCTTGGACCAGCAATTTGGCCAAAATAGCACCAAAATGTGGGAAGCGTAATCCTAGCTTTATGCGCCATAACTAAATATCATTAAAATCTGGTAGATAATTAATACCCAATAAAGGAAAGTTACAGTAATTATTTTATAATTTACCCAAAATCTTATTATATGTAGCAGTATCTAAGGTCAGTTGTCTACCTCAACTTGATGGTTTTGCTAAATAAATGACTAAAACAAAAAAGATCCTTTAGTAATAAAGGTTAAAATGCAAGACTTGAAGTAAAGTAGATTTAATTTCTGAATATAGCTTTGCCACATTCTGTGACCTTAGACAATTAACCTAACCTCTCTGATCTTTAGGCATCCTTTCCATAAAATGGAGCTAAAATGACAAATTTCACTGTAAATTAAATGATGTGTGTTTCAGTTACCTATTGCTGCCTACCCAACCTCCTCTAAAGTTAGTACCTTGAAAAAGCAACTTCCTGAGTCTCTGGGCTCTGCCAGGCAGTTCTGCCGTGTGGCTGTGGGCAGAGCCCAGCTGGGGCTGGAGTCCTCTGAAGGTTCAGTTGCACTGGATGTCCGAGAGGGTGCCCTCCTAGAGCTGGCAGTTGACGTCGGCCGGGAGCTCATCGGGGCCTGTCGATTGGAACACCTAAAATGGCCTTTCCAGGGGGCATGGAATTCTCATAGCCCTGGGGCTGGTTTCCAAGAGGGAGCATCCTAAGAGCCAGCGTTACAGAAGACCTGGGCACAAATTGCTTCTTGTGGCCTTGCCCCGGCAGTTCCAGATCATGATTTCTGCTGTGTTCTGTTGGCCAAGTAAGTCACTGAAGCCAGCCCAGGTTCAAGGGGAAGGTTCGAGTGGGTGTCACCTCTTGGCGTGAGGAGCAGTGTGGACAGACGAGAGGGAAGGAGTTGGGGGCAGCCACCTTTGGGGACTATCAAACACAGCACATGGCACAGCACGGGCTCTGATGAACGTCAGTGCTCTCCTCCCCATTTTCACTTTGACGCATTACTTTCTCAAAATCCTTTTAGTATATACTTTTAGGGAGTCAGAGCTTAGCAGAATGGCACTTTAAAGATGATCTAAGAGATTTCTCTGTTGTTCTTCAGATGGGAAAACTGAGATCCAAAGGAAGGAAAGACTGAGCCCATGGCCTCTATCACTTGGCTGCATCCCAAGGGGCTCACAGAATGAGTCCTTCGAAAGTGTTTGCTCATGAAACAAACACTCCGCATCACTGTACTGTTTTTAAAGTATTCCCGTGTGTACACTGAAAGGCAAAGTGAGGCAGTGAATGGTTACCAGATTTGGGAATAAATAGATCTGTGTTAGAATGTTAGCTCTTCTATTTACTTTATGATTTTAGGCAAATTGCTTAACTTCTCTGAGCTTCACTCTCCTTAATTCTAAAGGCAGTCTAATAAAGCGTAGTTTTCTAAGACATTGTTAGTGCTGAGGTCATTAATGTCCAGGAGCTTATACAAACCAGGTGCTCAGTATTTGGCAGCCATTTTTCTTTCTTATTCAGTTTGACAAAAGCCCTGTGAGGTAGGCATTGTCCTCCCACTTTACAGATTGGAAAGCTGGGCTTTGAAAAGAATAAGGGCTTTGCTTAGCAACAAACAGCTAGCAAACAGCCGCTCTGAGACTTGAAAGTCAGCATTGACTCAGCCGGGAGCACCTTCCTCCCCGTCACCCCCGCCCTCACTGCCCACGCATCCATCCTTTGCGGTCCACTCTAGACAGCAGGGAGAGATCCCAGGTGGCAACAGTTTGAAACATTAATGACTACTTAGGATTTTTTTTCCATTGGAGGAGGGAAATCTCCAGATCATAGTCTGCCCAATAATTTAGCACTTAGACTAGCACTTCAGAGTTTTTAAAGTTTCCATGTTTCTTTGATCTCACAGCATGTGAGTTAGCAAAAGCCAAGATCATCTTGCCTATCATACATGAGAAAATCAAGGCTTACTTTCAGCAAACTGACCTTGGCTTCCCTTCATATTCTGGGGAGAGCATACCAATCATACTGTTTGCCATTAGGCAGAAAGAAAAAAAATAGAGGGAGTCCAGAAGATTCTGAGTACACCCTTTTCATCTTCATTAAACTGGTGTCATAATTGCCTTTTGTAAGCCAACTATGAACCTTGTCAAAAACTGTGACATCCCTGGAAGGGCGTCATAAACAGGATAATTAGAGCAAGAGTGAGACAGAAACCATGCGGGCAGAGAAGGGAAACCAGCTATCCAATGGACGGACTCTGGCCGGCCCCCACAGGGATCTTCCCTCATGACCCACCGGGCAGGAAAGGAGCATGCCCCGTTCTCCACTCACCCACCCCTTTTATTTGCTGATCCCGCTCTCCACACAGATGTTGACATCTGCGTCAGAATTCAACACGGGGCCAGTCATTGGGAAGAAGGCTACGCCCATCTGTGCGTGGCACACGTTGTAGAAAGGTTATTTGGAAAGATGTGCTGTACATCCCACGAGAGAGTGACTTGAGAGGAAAAGTATTTTTTACTAGTTGTTTTTTGGGTTGCCTCTCTCCCCAACTATTACCCCCTCCGATACTACATGGAAATTCACTTGGAGTCTTCGTTTCCCTCTCCATCCCTCTACAGAGCAAAAGCGGAGTTTGCAACACATTTTCATTTCCAAAGGATAAAATAGTGGAGGGGTGCCTGGGCAAGGAGCTCTCAGGCCTGGGAGAAACCAGCTTGTTTGCGGTGTTTCTGTGCACCGTCACCAGCAGTCAGAAGGCTCAGGTGAGAGGACCAGCTGTTCACTGTGGCCAAGGGATATACTGCCTCTGAAGTGCACGTTACTCACCTGTAAATTGGGAAGGCTCACCAGGAGAGAGGGAAGTTTCCGTGAGATGACTCCTGGAGGCTTGTTTCAGAGATGCTCTCCGTGTGAGGTTGTTGTGAGGAACTTGGCAGGCACGTGCCCCTTCATCTTCGGGGCTTTCTCGCTCCTCTCACTGCCGACTATGCCCAGATATGCCCATGGAAGAGACATATTGGTCCCCAAGACAATTATGTCTCTAAACCAAGATTCAAAGGGATGAGCAAAGGGGAAAACAAGCCTTTCAAGTCACAGTGAGTAGGAAATCGTGAGCTGTGTTTCCTTCCTTCTTAAATTACTGTTTACATTGGGGTAACCTATTGAGAGAACACTGTTCTGGAATCCTGGAAAATGAGCTCTGCTGGAACTCACTGTGTGACCCTGGGCAAGTCACTGTGTCTCTGAACCTCACTCTTCTAACAAAGGAGCCAGACCAGGAGTCCCTAAAGAAGAGCGTTGTATGAGAGAACACGTTCTAGACGCAAAGAGCCCTGGCTTCAAATCTCAGTTCCTGTGGCTTACCCGCCATATGGCCTTGACCTCTTGAAGTCTCAGCTTCCTGGTCTATAAAGTACTCAAAGTACCTATCTAGTATGGTTATCCTGAGGATTAAAGGAAATAAACTATGTAAGAGATTTAATAGAGTTTTCGGTTTACAA